CGAGACCCTCCACACCTTTAGATGTGATAAGCACCCCATACCTATTTTTTTCCGCATGTGTGCATGAAAAGGAGGAGGGCTGGGGTGGGGGGTTACAACACACCTAGGTGTTAATTGGGGGTTACAACACACCTAGGTGTTAATTGTAATCTATTCATTCAAGACTTCATAGAGATCAAAAATCACATTGATTAAATATTTATAGTTTATACATCTAATGATTTAAAAATGAACGGGCTATATCAGTCACAAATGTCACTTATATCGAGTTGCTTGATTTATAAGATAGAAATAGTATTTAAGTATTATAATGTCAATCCAGCTGATTTGAGATCGAGAGAGGCGATTCCCAATAGTCATCCGAGAGGCAAGATTGATAAATATAAATTATATAAAATAGAATTATTTATTTCATAGTATTTTTAAATCCCTAAAAACAAGAAAGTATCTATGTCTATGAAGTATCTTATTCCTAATAAGAAAATATTGAAATTAAACTTGATTTTGGATCAAGCTTACTTTTGGGTTTATGATAGAATTATTCTAAGTTTGACCAAACCCAAAATTAGGTCCAAATTCTAGAGATTTTCTAGAAACACTCTAGAAGGTTGATCACATTCTTAAAGTATTTTAGAGAAATCTTTAAGCTAAATATCTAGATAATAGTATAGAAACATCTAGATAATTTGTGATAAAAATATTTAGATATTATGTAGAAATTTCTAGAGATTAGAAAAATATCTAGGAACTATGGAGGTGATATTAGAAGAATTTAGATCCTTTGTAACATATCTTTGAGAGGCTATAAATACCTCCTCACCTCTCTCATTTGTAAGCAAGAAGAAAAAGTTGAACAAGTGAATAAAGCAAGTTCAAATAAAGAGTCTTCCTCTTCATAAGTCCTCTACATTTCTCTAAAAGTCTTTCAAGTGTTCTCTAAGTGTTCTTCATATTCTTCTTCATACTTAGAGGTTTATTCTCTTGGTTTCTTTCGGGTTTCTCGGGTATTACGGTCTTGGGCTAGTGCTAAGCACTATCGGTGTTATCTTTACATGGTATCAGAGCCATTCTAATCTTGTGCTCTTCAAGATCGGGGTTTAAAGAGAGCTCGGGTTTACTCTAAGTATGGAATCAATGGGTCGTGTCGTTGGATTGGAAATGGAGATATTAAACCAATCTAACTACCGGTTATGGAAGTCATGTATGGAGTCATACTTGGTTAGTGAGGACTTATGGGATGTCGTCGGCGGTAGCAGTACAACACCACCAAGGGGAGATGCTGCAACAGCGGAAGCGACAAAGGAGTGGACACGGAAGAATGCCAAGGCGGAGTTTGCTTTGAAGAGATCAATATCTTCAGGACTATTTGAGCACGTCTCAAGATGTACATCCGCAAGTGCTATTTGGCAGGCACTAGATTAATTGTTCAACAAGAAGAACGAGGCTTGTCTACAACTGTTAGAGAACGAGTTGGCGAATACGAAGCAGGGGGAGTCTTCAATCTCAGAGTTTTTTATCAAGGTAAAAAATCTTTGCTCTGAGATTAATACTCTCAATCCGGAGGAGTCGATTTCGGAAGCACGGTTGAAGCGGTCTAATATTCGTGGTCTACGACCCGAATATACACTGTTTGTTACTTCAGTTCAAGGATGGGCTACACAACCTTCCTTGGAGGAGTTTGAAAATCTACTAGCTTCGCAAGAATCACTAGCCATGCAAATGGCGGGAGTTAAAGTCCATGATGACTCGGGGAGCGCTTTTGTAGCGAGGAGACAACAAAGCTTCAGAGCCAAACCCAAATATGGTAATGTGAAGAATAATGATGGACGAGAAGGATCTTCTACGGGAGACAAGAAACGATTCAAGTGTTATCGGTGTGGAAAACTTGGGCATTTCAAAAAGGAATGTCGAGTCAAGCTGAAGGAAACAAATATGGCGGAATCAAAGGGTCATACTAAAGACAAAGAATGAGGAAAATGTTTCACAGTGGAGGCAGCATCTTCAGGTACATCCACAGCTAAAAATCTTAGAAATGATTGGATTGTGGATTCTGGTTGTAGCCATCATATTACCGGAGACGAGAAGTTATTTTCTAGTCTTTAGCGTCATGACGGGAAAGAAGCCATCATTACTGTGGATAATTCAATCCACCGCATTGAGAAGGAAGGGACAATCATTATTGAAGGAGATGATGGAAGTCCAATCACTCTCAAGAACGTATATTATGTTCCTGGAGTAAGGAAGAATCTTCTCTCTGTGGTGAATGCGGTTGACTCAGGTAACTATGTTTTATTTGGCCCAAGAGACGTTAAATTCTTAAAGAATATTAAAGAATTAAAAGCGGACGTGGTTCACACCGGAGCACGGGTTAAGGATTTATATGTTTTATCGGCCTCAAATTCTTATGTTGAGAAGATGAGTACGAATGATAATGCCTTTATATGGCATGCTAGGCTTGGTCATATAAATATGACTAAGCTAAAGGTTATGGTGAATAAGGATTTGGTTAACGGGCTCCCAAAGTTAAAAATTCATGATGAAGGAAAGCTTTGTGAAGGCTGTCAATATGGAAAGTCACATAGGCTTCCATTTGACAACTCCACTTCATGATGCAGCGCTCCGTTGGAGAGGGTCCATAGTGATTTGATGGGACCGACGAGAACATCCTCCTATTTTGGGTTTCAGTACATGTTACTGTTTGTTTATGACTTCTCACGGTACACTTGGGTATACTTTATGAAGGAAAAATCAGAAGTATTCTCCAAGTTTCAAGAATTCAAGGTTACCGTGGAGGGAGAATTAGGTCAGAAGATCAAGACTTTAAGGACGGATAATGGAGGGGAGTTCATGTCAAAGGAGTTTCTCTCTTTTTGCCAAAAACATGGTATCAAGAGAGAATTTACATGTCCGTATACACCTCAGCAAAATGGAGTAGCGGAAAGGAAGATAAGACATCTAAGCGAGACATGTAGAAGCTGGTTACATGACAAAAATTTGTCTAAGGCCTTATGGGAGGAAGGCATGAGATGTGCAGCGTATGTCATCAACCGGATGCCACTTAGTCCGAACAATATGAAGTCTCCTTATGAGATGGTTCATGGGAAGAAGCCAACGGTGAAACATCTCAGGATATTTGGATCAATCTGCTACGTCCACGTGTTTGACTCTCAAAGAACCAAGTTGGAGGCAAAGGCGAAGAAATGCATCTTTGTCAGCTATGATGAACAAAGGAAGGGCTGGAGGTGTATGGATCCAGAGACACACAGGTACACCGTGTCTCGTGATGTTGTCTTTGATGAAGTTTCCTCATTTTATGGGCCACCTCAAGTCTTGGTCGAACAAGAAGGTGGAGGTTCCTCCAAGATCGATGAACCAGTTGTTCAAATGCCAAGTGAAAGCGGAAGTCTTGAAGAAGAGACGCAAGGTGAAAGGGGGAGCACTGATCAAGAGAAAGATGAGGAAGAAGATCGTAGTTCCATGGCTAATCAACGGCCAAAAAGGAACATTGTTAAGCCTGCTCGGTTCAGAGATGAAAGGTTTGTCACTACTTACTCATGCTACTTTGCAGCTCCATTAGATGAAGAGGAGCCATCATCGTATGATGAAGCAAAAGGAGTTCAAGAGTGGGAGGGCGTAATGAAGGAGGAGATGAATGCTCTCATGAAGAACAAAACTTGGGATTTGGTTCCAAAACCCAAGGATGTCCAACCCGTTTCTTGTAAACGAGTGTACCGAATTAAGCAAAAAATGAATGGGAGCATTGACAGATTTAAGGCAAGGTTGGTTACTCGAGGGTTCTCTCAAAAATATGGAGAAGATTATGATAAAACTTTCAGTCTAGTGGCAAAGATGACTATGGTACGCTCACTTGATGGAACAAGTCACTACCAAAGGGAGAAGGTGCTTGATGGAACAATTAAAGCTTTGGAGGTTCGAAATGAAGACAACGTTGCAGATATTTTCACCAAGTCACTACCAAAGGGCCAATTTGAGTTACTTCGCTCGAAGCTCGGGATGATTGACAAAATCAAGTTTAAGGGGGAGTATTGAAATTAAACTTGATTTTGGATCAAGCTTAATTTTGGGTTTATGATGGAATTATTCTAAGTTTGACCAAACCCAAAATTAGGTCCAAATTCTAGAGGTTTTCTAGAAACACTCTAGAAGGTTGATCACCTTCTTAAAGTGTTCTAGAAAAAACTTTAAGCTAAATATCTAGATAATAGTATAGAAACATCTAGATAATTTGTGATAAAAATATTTAGATATTATGTAGAAATTTCTAGAGATTAGAAAAATATCTAGGAACTATGGAGGTGATATTAGAAGAATCTAGATCCTTTGTAACATATCTTTGGGATGCTATAAATACCTCATCACCTCTCTCATTTGTAAGCAAGAAGAAAAAGTTGAACAAGTGAATAAAGCAAGTTCAAATAAAGAGTCTTCCTCTTCATAAGTCCTCTACATTTCTCTAAAAGTCTTTCAAGTGTTCTCTAAGTGTTCTTCATATTCTTCTTCATACTTAGAGGTTTATTCTCTTGGTTTCTTTCGGGTTTCTCGGGTATTACGATCTTGGACTAGTGCTAAGTACTATCGGTGTTATCTTTACAGAAAATACGGTATCTTTTTCCCGTACAGTGCTTAAAATTCAGACAAGTATTGATGAGTATAAGCCATTTAATTTGTCAAAAAAAAATTGTTCACGTAGCATAGGTAGAATTGAACCGTCTTGACAAAATGTAATTTCATATCTTATATGAACGTATGATTATTGTGATTATGAATACATTTAGCTCCTATACATGTGCTGAACTTTTAGTCTCGGAGAACATTATTACAATTTTATTCTTTTCTCAATTTGGTGAGGGCTAGATTCAAAATTGTGATAAAAAAAACGAAGGAAAAAGACTACATTTTTTATTTATATTGATAACCTAAAGAGGACACATTTTTAAATATTGGCCTGATTTGTAAATATTTTTTAATTTGAAATCCAGAGACAGGTCTGACTGGAACAAAGCTGAGCTGTGGTGAAGGTGGTTGTGGAGCTTGCACGGTGATGGTATCAAAGTATGACCAACAACAGAAGAGAACAACGTAAGCATCTCCTCCTCGTACCTATTCACTTGTTTATCTCACTGGTCTTTTTTCTCTACGATGACTATCTGTTCACTAATTTTCTCAGTCATATTAGTTTATAACAACCGAAGAGACTCTTGCGCTTCGTTCCATCGATGACAGCAACTTTTTGAACAGATATTATTTCTGGCTGAAGTATCTTAATGGGATATCAAAAGATAAGATCTTTCCATCAAGTGAAAAGTAATTATATATGTTTTCGTATTCTTTTTTAATTTAAAGTATAAATATAGAGTCTCTATGTAAACGATATAATTGATGGATGCACATAAAGCCATTAATTTGTAGTATCTATAGCGTATATCATTATTTACTCCGATCGGATAAGTTTACACGAATCAAGGTACATTATATCTTGTGGATTGTACCTATTGTTTTATTCGACTTATACAAGTAGTGGTAACTTAAATTTTAATCATTCGTACAGGCATTATGCGATCAATGCGTGCTTAGCACCATTATATTCTGTGGAAGGAATGCACGTAATAACAGTAGAGGGTGTTGGAAGTTGCAGAAATGGCTTACATCCTATCCAGGTAAAAAGTTTTTCCTTCCAATTTATATTGAGTATTTCATTATCAAATAACTCTTATCATATTACTACAATAACGTTACTCAATCTTTCATATACTGTACTCTAAATTTTGGTTTAAAATGCTTTCGGAAATTAACGGGGTATAAAATGTGAACTAATCTAAAGGAAATTTTCATGAACAAGTTTATGAAATATATTGATGCATGAATTGTATGAGACAGATCAACAGATATCGAGAATAAGAAAACCACAGAACAATTTAACATATTCCTAGTATCGGAAAACTTTGGGCTTTCATACAAATATCCCTTCTGTAGAGAATAGAGAAAACTCTAATAGTTTATTGAGAATAACAAGAGAGATATATGTAGCCATACAAATAGGGTTAAGGTTAACGGGTAACAGCCCATTAACCCAATACTCAATATTTAACTTAACACTCCCCCTCAAGCTGGAGCATAGATGTCTACCATGCCCAGCTTGTCACATATAGTAGAGAACATCTTTGAAGAAGTAGCATTGGTAAGAATATCAGCAAGTTGTTGTGAGGACGGAGTGAATATGAGAGATACTATCTTCTTTTCCCAAGCATCTCTGACAAAATTGCAGTCAACTTCAATATGTTTTGTCCTCTCATAAAACACAGGATTCTGTGCAATATAAATGGCAGACTGGTTGTCACAATGCATTAGCATGGGTCCAGGCTGAACAAAACAAAGCTCTGTCATAAACTTTCTTAGCCACACCATCTCACAAGCAGTGTGAGCCATTGCTCTATATTCGGCCTCTGCACTAGATCGTGATACTACATCTTGTTTCTTGCTTCTCCAAGTCACAAGATTACCTCCAACAAAAGTACAAAATCCTGAGGTTGACTTCCGGTCTCCCATGTCTCCTGCGTAGCCAGCATCAGAGAAAGCCGAAATGTGAGTATGCCCATGCTTCTTATATAACAATCCTTTACCAGGGCAACTCTTGACATATGCCAAAATGAACCTCTCTAGGTTTGTGCATAAACCTGCTCAATACACCTACTGCAAAAGTAATATCAGGTCTGGTAACTGTCAAATATATTAGTTTCCCAATTAGTCTCCTATATCGTCCAGCATCATCTAGGAGAGAGGTATCATCACGCCACAAATCAACATTTGCCTCCATTGGAGTGCTTGCAGGTTTGCATTCCAAGAGACCTGCTTCTTCTAGTAAATCTAGCACATACTTCCTTTGGGACAACAACAGGCCATGTTTTTGATATGCAACTTCAATCCCAAGAAAATACTTTGGCTTTCCCATGTCCTTAGTGATAAAATGACGGTTTAGATACTCCTTAGTCTCAGTTAAGGTAATAGAGTCACTCCCAGTCAGCAGAATATCATCAACATATACGGCTAAAATAACCAAACCAGTTGTTGTGCGTCGAAGAAAGACAGAGTGATCAGACTGACAACGTTGAAAACCAACATTAGAAATAACCTTGCTGAACTTATCAAACCAAGCTCGAGGACTCTGCTTTAACCCATAGATGGCCTTTCTCAGCCTGCAGATAAGATTCTCCCCCTGAGCAACATACCCAGGAGGTTGCTCCATATAAACCTCCTCGTCCAAATCACCATAAAGGAAAGCATTCTTCACATCTAGTTGGTGCATCGCCCAATCCATATTAACAGCCAGAGAGAAAAGAATTCTGATGGAGTTGAGACGAGCAACGGGAGAAAAGGTTTCAAAATAGTCGACGCCATATGTCTGGGTATAGCCTTTCGCAACCAGGCGAGCTTTATAAGGGTCAACAGACCCATTGAGGCGATATTTTAGGGTATACACCCATCTGCAACCAACCACAGTCGCTCTAGTAGGAAGAGAAACCAAGTCCCAAGTCCCTCTAGAAAGTAGTGCATTCATTTCCTCATCCATGGCCTGCTTCCAAGCTGGTACTAACATAGCTTCCTCATATGACCTAGGTATAGATACAGTGGACAAGGACAAGGCAAACTGACGAAAAGATGGGTTGAGACGGTCATAAGAGACAAAAAGAGATATAGGATATTTCGGGCAAGACCGTTTACCTTTTCGAAGAGCAATAGGGATATCCAAGTCAGAAGGAATAGAGGTCTCAACATGAGATGGACCGACAGCTGGAGATGAAGGTTCCGCAGTAGCAGATTCAGGGGCATGTACTTTTGGACGGCGAGAGTATGTCAGTAGAGGCTTCGGTGCAGGAGCAACAGGAGCAGGTAATGGAATAGTAGTAGGAGCAGAAGAAGGTAGTGGTACCTGTGGACAACCAATAGTAGTAGAACCAGACAATATAGGACATACTCAAAAAAGGTAACATCAGCAGACACAAAATATTTCCTGGTGGACGGATGATAACACCTATATCCTTTTTTAGTACGAGAGTATCCAACAAAAACACATTTGATGGATCTAGATGATAACTTATCCAAACCAGCAGTTAAATCATGAACAAAACATGTAGAACCAAAGACACGGGGAATCACAGAGAATTGTTTTTTATCAGGATAAAGACAATTGAATGGTATTAAACCATCAAGGACAGAGGAAGTAGCATGAACTACTCCATCACCACGAACTGGAGAAAGAGTACCATCAGCAATGCGGATAGAAGGAAACTTATCAGAAAGATGTAAAGATACAAAGTGATCCTTTATACCTGTCATATGAGATGAGCCTCCAGAATCTAGTACCCAGGGTTTGTGAGAAGAAGCTATGTAAGCATCCATACCTGAAGAGGATGCATGAGTAGCAGAATGAATATTCTGAGAGAGTTCTAGCTGGCGTAACCTCTCATAATCTGCCTGAGAAATCTGAACAGTAGGAGCAGTAACAGCTGGACCACCAGAAGTAGTAGCAGAAATAGATGAGTTAGTCGACTCTGTATCAGCTACCTGGGCCCACTGAGGACGACCAAACTTCTCCCAGCACTTCTCAGAAATATGATTGGTTCTCCCACAATGACCACACTATCGTGAGCCCTTATCAGATTCACCTTGCCTCCCACCAAAGGAACCACGTCCTCCCCCTGAATCACGGCCACGACCACGACCACGACCGTGGCCTTTGCCTCGATTAGAGAACATGGCAGACTGATCCATCGTAGGTGGAGATGGTGTAGTAGTATCAGAAGTAACACCAGTAGATACCTGCATGACTCTGGAGAATGTAGCAGTCAGTGAGGGAATTGTATCTCCACCCAATATCTGTCCTCTCACCTAGGACTATAAATTAGGGTTAAACCCAGAAAGAAATTTGGATACTGCCAGATCACGATGATACCCTAATAGCGTCGCTACATCAGCTACTGCAGGCTGATGCATCTCTAGTTCGTCTATCAGTCCCTTCAATTCACCAAAGAATTCCGGAACTGACTTATCTCCTTGTTTGAGCGCAAACAGTCGTTCATAAATTTCAAATACACGAGAAACATTCTTCTCGTTCCCGTACATAATCTTTAGGATGTCTCACATCTCCTTCGCAGTGGTTAAAAACATAACGCTGCTACTGATATGTGCTTCCATACTGTTGAGAAGCCAAGTCATAACATAATAATCAGATGAGAGCCATGAATTATAGGTGGGATCTGAGGTTGGTGGAGGAGATGCAAGAAGATGTGGTAGTTTGCTCTGAGCGCCAATGAAGATGCGGAAAGCTTGTGCCCAAAGCAGATAGTTTACACCATTCAATTTAATAGTAGTCCCCAAGACTACCTTGGGCGCAGAGGTCTCACCAGCAACAATAGAAGGAGTAGTAGAGGAGGAGATGTCCGACATCGAAGTAGTAGTCATTTTTATTTTTGAGCAACAATAGGAGACAAATAGTAGTCAAATAGGCAGATTAGTAGTAGAGATCCGTTTTCGAAACATAAACTAAGAGCAGATCAGGAGCAGGATTAGAGGCAAAGTGGTAGATAGTCATGCCCTCACGCTGCGTAGGCGAGATCACCTGAGGGAGAGCTCTGGCTTTTGTTTGCGCAAAGGCTCAATTTCTATGTTCTTGTTTCTCGAAGGAAACAAGAATAAAAGTGAAATATCTCAACAACGTGAGATAGACACTCTTCCTCTCATCAGTTCTATGACTGAAATGGCGGCGGTACTGTAGCAGCGGGCGGCGGCTAGGGTTTTTGAATGAAGATTTGTGACAGCTAGGGTTTCATGCTCTGATAACATGTAGAGAATAGAGAAAACCCTAATAGTTTATTGAGAATAATAAGAGAGATATATATAGACATACAAATAGGGTTAAAGTTAACGGGTAACAGCCTATTAACCCAATACTCAATATTTAACTTAACACCTTCCATTTGGAAGGTTTATGTTACATATGAAGTTAAAGAAATTGCACATAACTTCTATCTTTAAAAAAGTTTATGCATCTAAAGTCACAGCAAAGAAAATTCATGAATGACATGTATGAACTATTCTAGAGGTCCAACATTAACATATGTTAGCAAGATACTATCATACTAACTTATCTAGCTATACATAAAGTATAAGTCAAAGCTGTCACAGATTATTTTCTAATTATACAGTTAAGGTAGCTTATGCTGTGTTCTATCTATGTAGACGTATTAACATCAAACTATATGATTTTTCTTTCTTTTTACAGCAAACAATGATTTCAAGTTCTCTTATTCCTTATAAAGAATGTCCTGTTCCTTTTATTTTCGACTTATTTTCTTATTTCACTTTTTATGTCCTTTCAGTCACTCTAGCATAATTGAATGGTTATAACTGTCCAAATCAGTACCTTTATATTGTTGATGTATTTTTTTTTTCTTCTTTTAATGCAGGAATCCTTAGCCAAAGCTCATGGCACACAATGTGGTTTCTGCACTCCTGGATTTATTATGTCAATGTATTCCCTATTAAGATCAAGCAAAACACCCCCAACCGAAGATCAAATCGAAGAAAGCCTTGCTGGAAATCTATGTCGTTGCACTGGCTATAGACCAATTGTTGATGCTTTTCGTGTTTTTGCCAAATCTAATGATTCCTCATACACCAATTCATTTCAAGAAAGTGAAACTATATCAAATGGCACTTTCATTTGCCCATCAAGTGGAAAACCTTGTTCTTGTGGAGGAGAAACAATTAATAATATCAGAGTGAAGTACAATGAAACTGATGGAAGCTTGTATAGTGAAAAGGAGCTGATTTTTCCACCTGAGCTCATTTTGAGGGATGATATATCGTTAAATTTGCAAGGGTTTTCAGGAATTAGATGGTATCGACCGTTGAGCCTTCAAGAGGTACTAAACTTGAAATCGCAATACCCAGATGCAAAACTAGTGGTTGGCAATACTGAAGTGGGCATTGAGATGAGATTTAAACATGCACAATATCAGGTATTAATAAGTGTCACACATGTACCTGAGCTTAATAAATTGTGCATCAAAGAAGACGGATTGGATATTGGTGCTTCTATAAGACTTACAGAACTAGCAAATTTTGTTCGGAAGATAATTTTGGAGCGTAAAACTCATGAAATATCATCATGTAAGGCAATTTTGGAGCAGTTGAGATGGTTTGCAGGAAATCAGATTAAAAATGTTGCTTCTGTAGGTGGAAATATTTGCACTGCTAGCCCAATATCCGATTTAAATCCATTATGGATGGCATCAAGAGCAAATTTCAATGTAATTGATTGCAATGGAAACATTAGAACTGTTCGGGCAAAAGATTTCTTCCTTGGCTACCGAAAAATTAACCTGGCAGAAAATGAAATATTACTGTCAGTTTTCTTACCATGGACGAGAGAATACGAGTTTGTTAAAGAATTTAAGCAGGCGCATAGGAGAGAAGATGATATAGCTATTGTGAATGCTGGAATGCGTGTGTTTCTTGAAATTGATGGTTCAAATTGGAAGATAGGCGAAGTTTGTATTGTATATGGTGGAGTTGCACCAGTTTCTTTTGCCATGTTGAAAACTGAGAAATTTGTTACGGGAATGAGTTGGGAGAAGAGTATGATTCCTGATGTTCTGAAGATGCTGAGAGAGGAGATTCCTGTTAGTGAAAATGCACCGGGAGGTATGGTTGAGTTTCGTAAGTCATTAGTTTTGAGTTTCTTCTTTAAGTTTTTCTTGTGGGTTACTCAGCAAATGAATGAGAGAGGGTTCTTGATGGAAGGCGTAGATGTTAGCTATCAATCAGCTATACAACCATATTCTCGTCCATTGTCTCGCGGCACTCAGAGTTATGAGTCAGTAAGAGTTGGAACTGCCGTTGGACAGCCTATGATTCATCTCTCATCAAAACTACAGGTATGTCATTATTTTTTATTTAGTATCTCAGTGGCATGTTTCACTCTTTATTTTCTAATTTAGATCACTGTCCTAATTTATTCTAGTTACTTCGGGAAGGTCTCTCATGTTTCACTCTTTATTTTCTAATTTGGATCACTGTCCTAAATTTATTCTAGTTACTTAGGGCTGCTCTCTCTCTCTCTCTCTCTCTCTCTCTCTCTCTCCTCTCTCTCTCTATATATATATAATATATATATCATATATATATAATATATATATATATATATATATATATATATTATATATACATAACATACATACATACATACATACATACATACATAGACATATATATAGATATGTATATACATATGTATATATATGTGTATATATATGTATATACATATATGTATATATATATATATATGTATATATATTTATATGTATATATATGTGTGTGTGTGGTGTGTGTATATATATATATATATATATATATATATATATATATTATATATATATATAGAGAGAGAGAGAGAGAGAGAGAGAGAGGGTCTCAGCTCAGGTTATAGTAAAAATAAACGAGCAAGATACATAATATGTTTCATTGTAATAGGTTACAACCAATACAAACACAATCTTACATTTAACTTGCTACCAGGATTGCTTGAGTAAGAATTCTGCTAGGTTACCCGAAACATAGATAAGTTATGTTGGATCACTAATTCATTCATTAAAGACATGTCGATTTCGTTCCTTCCAAATAGTTGAGAAGGTTACCATCATGATATATATTAGCCATCCTCCAATCATGCAAAAAAATCCGAAGTCGTGATATGCCAAGAGGAGACTCGAACTAGGGTGAAAAGTAATCCTCGTAGTTGTCTAACTAAGCTACACTCTAAAAAACAGGTATTGTGAAGGAATTTACTGCAATTCTCATAACTTCTTACTGTGTCGTGCTTCTTATTATTTCTGACTGTATTTATGCTATTAAACTTTCCTTGATCCTCAGAATTACCTCTAACTAGGAGTTTCTATTTCGATATCCTGACATGTGATAGTTTCATGCAGGTGACAGGAGAGGCAGAATACATTGATGACATGCCAATTCCTCAATATACATTACATGCTGCTCTGTTGCTCAGCGAAAAGCCTCATGCACGCATTTTGTCTATAGAGGACTCACTAGCCAAATTGTCACCAGGTTTCGTAGGCTTATTTCTCTCTAAGGATATCCCTGGAAGTAATAAGATTGGAGTAATAGTCCAAGATGAGCAAGTTTTTGCCACGGATATCGTTACTTGTGTTGGCCAGGTATGAGCTTTATTTGATATTTTAGTAATAATTATATTTTCCTTTTTTAATATGTTAACTGAAGATTAAGAAACATTGATTTTGCAGGTTATCGGGATTGTTGTGGCTGATACCCATGAAAATGCAATGCTTGCTTCAAGCAAAGTACAAATTAAGTATGAAGAACTTCCTGCAGTGTTATCTTTAAAAGATGCCATCAATTCAGGCAGTTTCTTTCCTAATGCGCGAAGGTGTTTGTTAAAAGGAGATGTTGATCAGTGTTTTGAATCGGGTATTTGTAATAAAATCATAGAAGGCGAGATTCCGGTAGCAGGACAAGAGCACTTCTATTTTGAGCCACACAGCACTCTGGTCTGGACACTTGATGGTGGAAATGAAGTCCATATGTTTTCCTCTACTCAGGTATTTAACTATGTGACGGTTGGCTTATTCCTAGTTGCTACTGTGTAATTTATTTGAGTTTACACTTTTGAACATAGCAGGGATAAATTAATATTGACTCTTTTCAACACTTAACCTAACCTAACCTTTTTTTTCTTTGCGAACAAGTTGCAGCATCCCTAAGTAGTATTCTTTCCTTTATTCATTTTGTATAGTGATTGACTGTACTTACTATTGTTTAAATGCTTGCATTTTGCATTGAAAATTTATTAGTTTTCATGTTTCAAATCCTCTTTCATATTGCATTTGAACTGAAAAATAACATCGTCCGTAAAGGTTATTTATTTTGTTTGGACCACAGGCACCCAGTATGCACCAGAACTATATCGCTCGTGTTCTTGGCCTTCCATTGTCTAAAGTTGTTTGCAAGACAAAGAGAATTGGTGGTGGCTTTGGTGGAAAAGAAACAAGATCTGGTTTTGTTGCTGCTGCTGCTTGTGTGCCAGCTTATCTTCTCAAAAGACCAGTGAAAATTACACTGGATAGAAATATAGACATGATGATATCTGGGCAGAGGCATAGTTTCATTGGGAAATATAAGGTACTTGCTTAGCACTATGTTTTTCGTAAATCAGATTTCTGGGCGTAAAATATAAGAAACTCCTTCATTGGTATCATGTTCTCCAAGAAACTCCCTTATCTAAAAAGTTCATCAAAATACCACCTCGTCTATGATTGCTAATGAAACCGTTTTAATTTTATAATAGAGTTTGGTTATTCATACGCGTGTGCAGGAATCCGCATGCGAAATTCTACCTAAATGATAAAAGAATTAATTAGATGCTTACTTTATCCATAGATCCAATCATGCTACTAATCATTTTAAACATTTCCGCTTTCATTTTGAGCTTTTGCCATTAAACATTTTAGTTATAATCCAAAAGATCCTTATGTTGCTGGTAAACAATATATATCAATCCCCCATTTTTAGTACTGAAATTGGGGCATTGGTATCATAGGAGGTATATTATCTTATTCCTATAAACGTCTGTCAAAACAGATGTCGTTATTGTTAAAGTAGACTGATCAATAGAAATTACTGTGTCATCTTGTCGATGATCAAACAAATGAAACTTAGTTATGCTTTTATTCACCATCACCTGATTAAAGTTCACAAGAAACTAAAGTGGTGGAGTTTTCAATTTGTCACAATAGTTCGCTCTTTGTCTCTTAATCATAAGCCAATTTTTGCAGGTTGGATTCACAAATGAAGGAAAGATTATGGCTTTGGATCTTGAGATCTATAATAATGGTGGAAATACATTAGACTTGTCTCTTGAAATCCTTGACCGTGCGATGTTCTATCCAGAAAATGTCTATGATATACCGCACATGAGGATCAAAGGCCAAGTCTGCTATACTAATACTTCTAGTAATACTGCTTTCAGGGGATTTGGTGCCCCTCAAAGTATGCTTATTGCTGAAAATTGGATTGAAAGGATGGCTTCTGAGCTTCAGAAAAGACCCGAGGAAATAAAGGTAAAATTTTATTTTAGCGGAAAATTTGATCATACTTTGATGTTATTATAATAACTATAATGTTCCTTTTATCAGGAAATAAATTTTCACACAGAAGGATATGTGACTCACTATGGCCAGCAGCTGCAGAACTGTACATTGGATCAAGTTTGGGATGAATTAAAGGCATCCTGTGATTTTTCAAAGGCTCTTGATTCCGTAAATGAATTTAATACCAAAAATCGCTGGAGGAAGCGAGGAATTGCTATGATCCCTAACAAATTTGGTATCGCCTTTACCTCTAAGTTCTTGAACCAGGTAAACAAGGAACTCTCATAATGGCTTTATAATTAAGTTTCTGCCACTTAAATTCGAAGCTCAATATTGCGGAAACTTCATTTGTTCTTTTTAGTTATGAATTCTGAGGTGCAAGGAATAAGTTTTACCAGGTGCAATGACATACTAAAGATTTATTTTTGAAGAAAATGTGTTTTTCTGGATTAAGGAATATGATAAATCCATCTAAATTGAACTGAAATAGCATATACATGGTATACAGTATGCTTAAAGGGGAAAATGTGGGAACTTTTTGTTATGAACTACGCTTATTAAATACATTGACATTGTTTATCTTATGTCGTGATCATAACACTAAGGAGTAATTAATGAATATAGGCCGGTGCTCTCGTGCAAGTTTATCTCGATGGAACTGTTTTGGTCACACATGGAGGAGTCGAGATGGGACAAGGACTACACACAAAAGTTGCACAGATTGCAGCCTCATCCTTCAATATTCCCCTTAGTTCTGTGTTCATATCAGATACAAGTACAGATAAGGTTGGTTTCATTTTTTTATTGTCATTAATAATAAAACCCAAGTAAATACGCGTATTTTTATGGGTTAATTGCAGATAGACTCACTGTAGTATTGCCAATTTGAACTTACTTTTCATGTAGTTCTATTGTTGCAGATTGACCCGCTGAGTGAAAAATATTAACAGTTTCCAAAGGATTTTTCTTCAACAACAGATTTTCACTCAGGGGGTCTACCTGCAAGAATTGAACTCTTATAGGGTCAAGGGGGTCTATCTGCAACAATAAAAATACAGGGAATTAAATTCAATTTCCCACGATTAACCCATTTCATTATACAGTTCTGAAACCTTATTGTATTTTAGGTCCCTAATACAACATCAACAGCGGCTTCAGCGAGCTCTGATATGTACGGTGCAGCAGTTCTAGATGCTTGTGAGCAACTTAAAGAACGAATGAAGCCTATTGCTATAAAGAATCCGAAAGCTACTTTCACCGAGGTCTAACAAATGAACATGTCACGTATCCGATAGCTACTTTATTGAATACTTATAAGTCATGTTATTTTTTGATTGCCAGTTAGTCCAAGCATGCTACTTTGAGAGGATAGACCTCTCTGCTCATGGATTTTACATAACGCCGGATATTGGTTTTGACTGGAAGATCGGTAAGGGAAACGTATTCAGCTACTATACCTACGCAGCAGCATTTGCCGAAGTAGAAATAGACACTTTGACTGGCGATTTCCATACGAGGACAGTCGATATTGTTATGGATCTCGGATACTCTCTTAATCCAGCCATTGACATTGGACAGGTACGACGAATCTACAAAATTCAATTTCATAGCTTCTTTAGTTCAATTTGACATATTTTTGAGCTCCATTTTATGGTTCTAGCTTCTTTAGTCTAATAATTAACTCCTGTTTTTAAGTTATTCGATGGCAAGATTTACGCTTCGGCTATTCAGAGTGCCATCTTCTTGGCTCTCTGAATGTCCTCTCCAGTTTATTATTTCGAAACTTATTGCAAAAATAACTTAATAATAAGCATGAATATCATTGATTTGCCTTTTCTGTACAACCAAAATTTCAAGCTTGTTAACTTTATCCACTTTGCATTTTGGAAATTTCACTGTTTGCCGTGTACTATTTTATTGAAGTTGTTACCAGAAACTAACAGTTTGGTTCACAGATAGAAGGAGCCTTTATGCAAGGTTTGGGCTGGGTTGCACTAGAAGAGCTAAAATGGGGTGATGCTGATCATAAATGGATTAAACCTGGTAATCTATACACTTGTGGGCCTGGCACATACAAAATACCTTCTGTAAATGATATCCCTCTCAAATTTAAAGTCTCCCTTCTTAAGGTAAACCACATCATTTTATTGCTAAGTTCTCATCAAATCTCCTAATACTTGTTGATCAAGCTATAATGATTCTAGGATTAATTGCAAATAGAACCTTTCTATTACCGTCCGTCCAATTACAGGCAGACCCCTTGCGGTTCTATTGTTGCTAATAGACCCCATGTACTATCACCCAAGTGCGGATAAACCTCTTGAGTGAGTTTATTTGACTATCTCACTCTTAAGAGGTCTATTTGTCGAGAAACAATTTTTTTCTTCCTCGTAGGTAAAAGAGTCGCAAAATTCACTCAGGGGCATGCTCGCAATAATAGAACTACATGAGGTCTATCTGCAAATCAGCGACTATAAAGGAACAGTCCAAAATTAACCAATGATTCTCATACTATCGCTTAAAATTTCCTTCACTGTGTGTACCATGTTAACACAACAGCATTTACCTTCTTTGCACGCAGGGAGTTCCGAATCCTAAGGCAATTCACTCCTCCAAGGCAGTAGGTGAGCCTCCACTCTTTCTTGCCTCTGCAGTGTTCTTCGCCATCAAAGACGCAATAAAAGCAGCGAGAGCAGAGGAAGGTGTTGATGGCTGGTTCCCACTTGACAATCCCGCAACACCCGAAAGGATCAGGATGGCTTGCATCGATGATTTCACTAGACCATTTGCTGGCACAGAGTATCGCCCCAAGATCAGCATTTGATGTCTCGCACAACTCAACTTAATGACGACACAAATTTTGGAAGTTCAATAATTTTGTTATGTAATCAGCTTAGAACTATGAAACTGTCGTCAAAGAGAAGTGTGTTGAGAAACATACAGATCATGAGATGGGAATAATATTTCATTTGAAGCATTTTAGAGTTTTCGTCATGCTTTCTTTTTAATAAGCTTGAGTTGAATTTCAAATCATACAACTAAAATTCTCTCCAATATATTTCTGATTGAGGTTTGCTCAGTTTTTACGCTTTTAAAATGTTGGAACCATGTCTACTTGAATGGTGAGATCGATAACTCAATCCTTATGGCATACAATTTTCTACTAATGATGATAGAGAACTTACATCTAAATTCCCTATTTAAAATCTGAAGTATATGCTCACAGAAGACAGTCTTCAACAAGCAACTTCTACCATCACAGACAATTCCTTAAAAAGCATGCGAAACATGAATGTTGTCTTCATCAATCATAAAATATTCATGACAGGGATGAAAGTATAGATTATCAAGATATCAAAAGGCCAACAAACATGACCAATAACACCCACTAAAAATAATCAATCTCAAAGAGTCAACGAATGAATTATCCACTCTAAAGCCACCTTAGCTCGCCATGCGTTCCCTGTGTAACTACATAAAGAAAATACTGAGAAGATTGCACTCCAGATGTTAACACCACAATATTTGAATAGGATCTCCGGAAAAGTTGGGTTCTAAACAAATTAATTCCATGAAGATGTAATAAATAAAAACAAGATTACGAATGACATGGAAAGATTAACTGCTTAAATACATTGAAATGTGAAATAATCTTTTGAGAGCAACCGACTGACTGTACACACGACAAACACAAAAATGAACTACTATATGCAATTAACGTCTGCTACAAGTTTGAGTCATTTGCATCCTCATGAATAATACAAGAAGCTAGACCGCATAATATTGGAGAGCTTGGCTGATTGCCAAGCAAACGTGGGAATTTTGTATGAGATTTTCAATTGTTTCTGCACTGTATACATCTTACAAAAGCCTAACATCCTGTGGAAAATCCATTCTAATCTGCTATTACAACTATTAAGAACCTGAAGAAGTTCTACTCTACTGAAAGAAAAAACGAAGAGGAAAGCCAAACTTGGGAAAAAGAAATGAAGTCTGGAGCAGGGAAAATATACTGAGACTGCAGATTTTACTGTTGAGTAGGTTCTTCACCAAACACTTCAGTAAAGCAAACAGGGCATGCCTGAACAAATAATACAAAAAAGTCAGCAATACAGAAAATTTTGCATGTACTCACCCACTTTTAATTAATTCAGGTAGATACTTTGATGAACTTGCCTTGTTTATGCCAAGCCATCTAGACACACAGCTGGAGTGATAAACATGTCTACAAGGCAGGGTCATCTGTCGATCCCCTCTTTTATAGTCCATTTGGCAAATCACACACCTGAGGATGATCACACGAAATATTTTATTACAAGAGTTTCTGAATTTTCTGATAGTCCAGTTAGTTGTTTCCTTTTGTTTTCAATGAAGAGAATGCAACCAATTTATCAAGAAAAAAAATTGATCGTGGTGGTAGAATGAGAAAACATGCTCAATGCTGATAGACGCACAAGTTCATAAGTTTGACAGGCACGCCTCAATGCAGAGAGGTGGAGAATTTTTTTAAAAGAAACGATCACGATCAAACAAAACAGAAAATGGATGAACTTAACAAAACCATGAGAAGAAATGAAAGCATAGTTCTTATAGATGACCACCAATAAATACCTAGGATTATTTTCACTATTTTAGGATCAATCCTCTATCACCACAGTGAGATCATCAGAGAGTTGTTTATATAAACAAAGTGGGAGCAATTACATGGAAAAAAATGCTTTTGGAATATTCATGTAGCCAGCCCATGATAGTGATAGAAAAACTTCTTAGAATGGCTATAGGGCAATCTTGCATTATGACAGAGGATGTTGGTAGATTAAGAAACATGTCCAGAAAATGAGTGTTAATTGTTAAAAGGGAACTGGTAAGATGATGATGACTATTCCTAAAAGATAGGGAAAATTAGTACATCCATAGAATTAGGAGAAATGAGAGAGACCCTGTCAAGATTGTTCAAGCATATTGTAAAAGACATCAACAAGTGAACAGGCTATGGTACTTGATAGATCACTGGAGACAAGTAAAGATTTAAAGTAATACATGGATTAAGCCAGTTAAATAAAAAACCGTCATTACCATGAACTTCCACGGTTTTCTGAGAAAATCACCATGAATTTTGTTAAATTTTAATAACTACTATGAACTACGATTTTTAAGAAAACAACTGATGTTAGTAATAAAAGATTTGAAGTTGTTAGTCTGTCCAGTTAAAAAAGGTATTATTTACAAATAAAAGCTCTTTTATATATAGTAAAAGACTAAAAGGAGTTCTTTTTCCAAAATACATAATATCTTCACTTTCTTCATCTCTTTTACCAAAGTTATGGAAATAGTTATATTTCTCTCCCAATTTTTTA